AATAGGAAAGCGAATGTCATTGTATAAAACACTTAACTCAATACCTTCTGCAGGGGCACCTCTCAAAAAGCATTATGCGGGTCACTCTGTAACAAAACAAGAGAGGGGCAATAAATAAATAAATAAAAGAAATTCGAGAATGTGACTTGAACATGTGCTAAGAGGAGTAATTTGCTGAAGGCCGTGATTGAAGGAGCCGTCGATGGAATAGGAAGATGATGTTGGAAGATGATAGACGATCTAAAAGAGGGGAGAGAATAGGCTGATATGAGAATAAAAGCTATTGATAAAGAGGAGTGGTAGACGGTAAAATAGAATATGCGTACAGCCAACAACTTATCATCATACCTAGTATAAGTAGCTTTGCAAAACCATATCACATTTTGCTGTAATGCCGTGTAGAACCTGACAATCTCTCTCTGAAACTAAATTTCTACCTTCTTCAACATGTAAATTACGAAAGCCCGCCATACTAAATGTGCAAATGATCTAGCATAAATGCTTCGATAAATATTCAAGAAGTATTCAGACAGAAAATGGCCACGTTTTTATATTTTTGATGATTTATTATAATTATGATCGTACAGAGTATTCCAAAATATGTGGCATAGCAAGTGAAATATATCTTGAGTATTTCCAAAACTAGTTAAACTAGTTTTTTTTTATCGATGCAGAATTTATTCTCCATGAAATAAAAGGATGTACAAGGAAAAAGGTTTTCGCCCTAAGGGGAATAACTTCAGCGCATTTTTCAAGCATTATCAATTAATCCCAAAACGCTATAGCTATATGCGCTATGTTTTTCTTTACTAGAAGCATCTATGGTTAAAATTTAAAAGAAATGTCTCTATAACTAAATAATTAAGTTGTTATTGCTCACATCTGATTTTTACAATACGCGATATGTCTGCCTTTACTAGAAATATCTGCAGTTAAAATTTCAAAAAAATATCTTAATAAATAATAAAGGAAAATATCTAATTAAATCAGAAAGTTGTTATCACGCATCCGCACATTAATCACCATTCTTGACTCAGGTCCTACAGCTATAAGCTACCGAACGAACTAAATATATTGAAATCTGTAGAAGTGGGTAAGGCACGAAATAGTTTGAGTTTTATACCATACGAGTGTAAAATTAAATTCAAAAACGCAAGGGAAATTTTCAAGTACGACCTTGCACCACGAAACAACGTTATGAAATCCCCTTCGCGAAGGTCACCGAATGCGTTTGGAAAAGTTACAAAGTATAGGTATCTGGAGGTCATTTGATTTGGTTTTTCTAATACGTCTAGGAAAAACCACCTTTTATTATCCGATTTAAAAGTGATCTTTTGTAATTCCAGTTCACATTAGCATATTACCAATTTTATTAGCCTCTCCTAAAGTTTACGTAATTATAGTGCTATTACTAACGCGTAACTAACGCATAATGTGTATAAACCTGGAAAAAATAAGGATTTTCAAGCAAGAACTAGAAAAATCATTTATTAAGGGTTGCTCGGGTTTTGCAATACAGCACCTTATTTTATGTATCCTTTTGCTTTTGCATTCTTCGCAACCTTGGTCCAAAAACTATAGCTATGACCTTGCTCCAGAATCCAAGGACATGACCTTGGACAAGTATCCAAGAGCATGACCATTAAAATGTCATGACCTCGGGGAAACTCAAGGCAATGGCCATGACTTGGAAAACACCCAAAAGCCCATGACCTTGTGATGTCACAAAATCCGTCTAGTGCCTGGACTCCCTTATACTACACCTATCTCTATAGCACACTGAGGGTAAGTACCGTGAACTGTTCCCTCATTTCGTTAGAACTAGCCTATGAAAGTAGAACGTATTTTTAACTAAATTTTACTCAGAAACCGCAGTAAAAAATCAGGTTTTTGGTAAATAAATACTCTTTAAAATAAATCCTTCTGTATTTGTCGCATGCACCACTTTGCTTCGACCAAAACGCATGTTTCTATTGACGTTCGTTTTCTGATTATTTCAGACAACACGCCTTGTTTTAAAGATATCGTGTCAACAGTAATAGTAAATAAAATATCTTTCCGGTGATTTAAAGAGTTAGCACTTACCATTTATGTATTTTTATTTTGCTTAACTACGAAAACTTCGCGGTAAGATTTTTCCAGAGCGAATGGTGAAAGTTTTTTCTTTATTAATATAACGGCACGTTTTTAAAAAAACTTCGATTACGTCGTTGGGGAGCATATAAACAAATTCGAATCTGTGGCAATGAACCAGTTACCGACGAGTTTAACTTTACGAAAAAAGGAGAAGGATAAAAAGGACTGACAGCCTGATTCGTGAAAGTTAGAGTTAAATAAACCGATATTAAAAATTATTGTGGTAAATTTCCTGTTTGCGGATCGCTAATAGTAACGGCTAGTTAAAAACCAGTTTCTCAAAGTTAAGTGACGTCATTGGGTAGTTCATTGTACGATAAATAAAATTTGGTATACAACAGCAGCCAGCAGAGAATTAATCGGTTCATTTACTTGCAACAAAACCTTGTTCATAAATCGGGCAAAATTAATATAAGTGGAACATTGGCATTTCATTCCTGTGCATAATCACATTCTCAAGAATTAGTTTCGAAAATTTAAAGCCGGTTTGCTTGTATCCGAAAATAGTACGGGTATTTTTCCGCTAAATTCTTTTATCCAACAAATCCCCAATGTTGCCGGGGCAGTGCAGAAAGGCAACTGAGCCGTCTACGCGATCTGTTTCCATACTTTTAAAGAAAGCTGCATTTTCCAAGGGAAGATAAGAATTAAAATTCGCATACTAATTTTGTGTAATGTAATTTTGTTATTCCTAAAGGAATCGACCTATAAAAATCATTCTCATGAAACAGGTTTGTACTATATTTGATAAGAGTCAAATCCAAACAACGGATTTTGGTTAATTTGTTTCACTAATTGGGATTTTGCATTTTTTGTAATAACAGTCCTTTGGTTGGATTAAAATTTTGTTTAGCATGCAGAGGTGTATGTATAATGTATATTTTGAACAGGAGCGAGAATGTGTAAAATAAAATTTTAGATAACGATCAAGTTCACCATTGACAACTTATAAAATCTAGGAGAGTCGACTGCAAATCGACCTTGTAAGTGTCGACCTCCAGTATCAAAAAAATTTACAACCATCGATGGAGCAATAGAATAAAATAAAATCAAATAATAAAAATTTCTGCATAAATGTAGAATATTTTATACACAAATTCGGGGATTCTTTTCGACATGTACGAGCACTACTTGCCTATTATTTAGAATTTTAGGGACTGTGGTCACAGTTTGTAAGTGAGTTTCATGAGATACAAATTTGTGCGAACTAGCAACGGGCGACGTTGGTGACGCCTTGATTTTTACTATGGATGCATGAATGTGTATCAAAACTACTATGCTAAATCAATGTTGCTCGCGACATTGACCACATGAAATTACGACATAAACTTCTTAGGTGCAAACGTTTGCGTCCATGCTTTCGCTCTCGAATTTTGCATCCAGGGTTTCTAAACTCTTGACAAATGTCGTTTTGCAACGTGGAAAAGGAAAAAATTGTAGGATAAAAGCGAGAAATTGCTAAATAGTGACATCTAATACTGTTTTTCACAGTTAAAATAAGGGCGAGAAGTAAGTTACAAGTTTTACCAAAAGGGAGAAAGAAGTTACAACCTGACACGTCAAATCATTTTCCACGCCCCAGTTTTAAATTGTGTGTTACAAATTTATATGGATTGGCGATGACCATGAAGAAGAACCCAATTTTTCAATTCATTTGCTTTAATCCACCTCATTGTTCTTTCGTAGCAATAAATTTAAATGCGTCAAGAGTGTAATAATCGCAATCTGTTATTTCTGCTTTTTAAGTAAGGGTCTGCATTCAATTAACAAGCATCTACAACAATTACATTCGGTGAGTGTCAACATGGAGTTGATTGTCTTAAGTTTGTAAAATCGGAACGATAGTGCCCATTAAACCTATTGGTAGAATGAAATGAAAAAATTATATATTTTCATAATAAAGCTCATACCGTAAAGTATGGCAGATTATTTAGCATCGAAGGGTATCCATACAAACTCGTAAAAAGGTAGATGAGTTCACCATCTAATAGACTAATGTATCGGTTGGTAACACGATTTTCCTCCTTCTCAAAGAAGATATATTTTCGTATAATGCAGACAATATACTATTAAATTTGGTTAGAAGGCCACAAAGCTTTTTCTTAGAATGACGGCTATCGGGCGCTGAATATTCTAAAAAAGAATACTAGAACCAACTCTCGTTAGTTAATCTATATAGGAAAATGGATCTATCCTTAAAAATGCATCAACTAGAAACAGGCTGTCAGACGACTAAAATATAGTTTGATAACTGCAAAGAACCGACGGATAGCATTTTCTGTTCTGAGATTTCCACAGTTTTGAACATGCCTAAGGTAATGGAATTGCTGTCCTGTCGACTGACACTAGGATTTAGCGAAAGAATGTGTCTACAAACTTTTCAGTCTCGACGCTTAAAATTGGTATACGAAATTATTTTACGCCATTTCGAGTAATATTGTTCACAAGTGCGAAAAATAAAAAAGGGCAGCTTAGGAATTAGTGTCAAACCAAGAGAAATCTCGGCGCGATAATATCCACAGGATCGTCACGGTTCTTGTCCAAAATAAATGTTTAGATACGCATTACGTAATAGTTAGGCAAACAAATTTTGCTCGTATAAATCTGCCAGCTGAATATGTAAATTTCGGCAAAAAAAAGGCTTTAAGTAAAAAATGGTATACGAGCGATTGAGCGAACGCCAATATGAGCGTGTTTTGCATTCACGAATTCGTAGGGGTATCGGACTTAATCTGCTCAACACGATAAATTTCGAGTTTCCGAGATTAAAATTGGATTTATACGATTCAAAGCCTCGATAAGTAGAGAATGGGGCGTAACTTGGATGGAAGTGAAAAAAAAAGTATTACGAAAAAATCACGTACCGTTGTAGATCAACGTGGCGAGGAGCACGCAGCATGTTGTAGCACGCATCTTCGTGGTTAGTCAGCACATGTCGCCTGCATCCCCATCCACGTGCCAAGATCTAATCATTAAAAAGTCTTCAGCAATATCCGTTAAACTACTTTTGGTGAGGTCCTCTGTTCGTTATTCATTCATAAGTAAAGAAACTTCCGTGACAAGATTGAAAAAGTTAAGATCATTATTAAAAGATCACGCGTACGTGTTTTCGGCGTCAATTTTTTAAGAGTCCTCCGACGAACACGTTCGCACGCAAACTGCCGCTATTTTAAGTGTACGGACGCGCTGTCGTGGTAATGTGTAGACTCAACTCTCCTTCGATGTGCGCCGCGACGCTCTCTCGAGACCGGCCCGCGCCAGGATTGGCGGAGAAAGCGCACTTTACCCAATGGGAATTGTGGACAACGCGCAGATTATCTATTTTTTTATTTCTTGTGTCATCCTAAATTATGTTTATTAAATAACAGTTAGAGAGACTAAGATCCTTTTTAAAAACTTAATTATGTGACGCTGACAATTTATTACAAGTCGATAAACTCGCTCACTGCAACGATGAGCCACTAGTGTACCAAAAAATTAAATGTCGAGAATTTCTAAGATGCTCGTTGGCTAGCTAAATTGGTGAAAACCAATTAATAAATGGATCAAATTTGCCGTTAATTTCATTTAGTAAAAATTAAAATGACTTACCTTTACAAAGAGCAATGGGTCAATTGGTTATTGCATCCAGGCATACATTATCTATGGTAACCAGCTTCCAACTCTTGGCTACAATATGTTAAGGATTACTTTCCTTGTAATGTACACATATAATTACTCCCAGGTATACACAAACTTTGTCCACCATTTTTGCTTTTTCCTTTCTGCAATATTGTCTATTACATCTTAATTATGATGAAAGAAGGGAAGTTTACAAAAGAGTGTTGTTTTTACCGAGCGTTTGTCACTTTTGTGAAGCATATCCCCGAACCAGTTAAAGGGAGACTTTCCATAGAGTCAATTTTACATCAGTAATTCAAACAAAGCCTGTGTCGTCTAAATCGAACTTTCAGTGCAAGTAAAGAAGTGAAGTTCCTAAAGCTACATAGGCTGGTTTTAGTGTTTGTGCATTCTATTTGTTGAAAATCTCAGTTACGACGGGGATTTTGGATTATTAATACTTTAAGATAATTAAGATTTCTTTAATTAGTTTGTTTAATTGACCGGTACTGTTTATAAGCCCCGCGTCTTATGTTTCTTTCAGTTTATTGATTGATTTTGTCTAATAAATTTGTTTCATCTGTAAATGTTCTATGTTGTGTTTAATTGAGCCCAAATTACGACCTAGATAAGAGTTCTCATGCTAAATTTTTCTGTTGGTACTCAGGGTTATGCCAAGTGTTTAAATGAAAATTTATAATATACTTCTTTGGCGTGGTGGAGTTGGCCAAGGCTACTGAGGTATCTCAAGTTAATAACATTAAAGTCTTATCGAGATTTCTAGTTGTGGAGGATAATGGACGTACCCTGGGGAACTTAGAATCCATTTCATATACACGCTTTTACTAACGTTGTAACGAGAGCATTTATTTGAGTTACTTGTCTTCGTTTTTTCCCGTCCCGTCCCGGGTATTTGTTCTAAATGATATTTGGCGCCTCATTGTCTGGCTATGGTTTTGAATTACACACTGAGAACTAGTCGCGTTGTGTTACTTCTGCACCTCATCAAATTAAATAAAGCTCGATAAAAAATAAATTGACATCGCAAAATTAGAAAGTCAGATACAACCCTGGAAGCCGGTTAAACCAATGAAAATTAATAAAATACCGCTGTCATATTCCACCATTTAGTGGGTGTTAAAATTACTGAGCATTTCGAGATGGGATTATTTTTGCACAAAATTAAGGCATTCGAACATCAGTCCTAAAGGGATTTATTCATTCGCGTTTTGTTAATCGAGTTGGTCTAAATAAATTCTCAGCAACCCAGTGGTCAAGTTAGAAAATTGCGAAAAATTCGCCTTTGTCATTCAAGTTGATAAAGGGACATTTTACCGCAGAAAATCAAAAAAGTGTCACCATCGAAATGGTTTGGTTGAAATGGTTCCGGTCATTATTCAGTTTGATCGGGCGTATAAGTTTCAAAATCGCAAGTTAATTAACTAGAATAGAGTTTGATACAATTTACGCCAAGGGGTATTTTTGTACTTAACTGTATAAGTCCAAAAAGCTCGTAACTGTACAGTATCCATTTCAAAAGAAGATATCGTTCGCAATTATAAATAAGCGTGGTGGCAAGCAAATTCCTTGGAAAACATTACGTCGTATTTGTACAGCTTAATAAAGCAAAACTACTTCATTTGGTGCACAGGATTACAACAAAGAAAACTGTCAGTAAAAATAAAGTTCATTATTAGCGCCGTTAATATAAAATGCAATTTAGTGCAACCGCTTACCTAAGGGATTCCTCAAAATCAAACTTAAACAGTAATCAAAACAAGAACATGTGACTGCGTAAGCAAAACGCAGTTTTTAAAGCAAGTTTTTCCACTCCATTTTCAATTTCTACCCGAATTATTGTCGGAGGGTTTAAGTATGCAGTTTTTTAGAAACCATCTGATATCAACCCCAAATTGACAGACTAGAAATTAGCAGTAATGGTTCAAGGGCGTCTATGTACCAGAAGAATTGTAAATGAAGGTTAGTAGTATTTAATTAGCTCCCCAAGTTCAATAGATACCTTTACGATCCATTCTCAAAGATAAACACTGATTTGTTGCATATTTAGAAGGGATATGAAAGGATTCAAATCAGATTAATAGTACATTATACATTAAGGGAGAGAAATGGTTGATTTTTCCCGCGGTGTTATTGTTGCCCGAGGGCGAAGCCCGAGGGCCACAAGGCACCAAGGGAAAAACGCCATTTCTCTCCAGCGGTGTATATACTATTTTTTTCACTCGCGAGGATGTTTACTTATACTTTAAATATAGTCAAAGATTTTTCATTAGAACCCCTTTAATCGTGTTAGTGGAGTATTGAAACTGTATCATGGCAACAAGCCGGTATTAGGGCACAATAATAATCACGTTAGCAACCTCCATGCCTTTGTCTAGACTTCCATGCCAACCAATAAACAAATATCGTGTTTTTGTGAAAACGTGCGTGGGTCTAAATTATGGAATCTGCTAGTTTTTCCGAAGAACCTTTTGAGATTACTGAAGCTGCTAACGCTACTGTTACCAATTTACTGCCCGCGAGGTCCAAAAAATTGTATGAAGCAGCATACCACAGTTTTAAAGATTGGTGCCTACAAAAAAGTGTGAAGACTTTTTCCGAAAATGTCATGTTGGTTTATTTTAGCGAAAAGGCTAAAAATTATAAGTGTTCCACGGTGTGGGCGCAATATTCTATGATGAGGTCTTGCATGCTCATATATGACAACATCGATATCAGTAAATTCCGCAAACTGGTATCATTTCTAAAAAGAAATTCAGATGGGTATGCTCCCAAAAAATCAAAGATATTAAACAGAGAAGAGGTGAAAACATTTTTGTCTGAAGCTGACGATGATGCCCATCTAATGCGAAAGGTAAAATAGATTAGGCTTTAAAAAACATACTCGTACTAACAATGTTGCATTAGGTTGTGTTAATCTTCGGAATAAGTGGTGCATGTCGCACTGACGAATTAGTTAATCTAACCACGCATAACGTTAACGATATGGGATCTTCCTTCATAATTACGTTACCATTTACCAAAAACAAGACATCTAGAACCTTCGTAATAACAGGAAACATAGATGGTACAGATTTTCTTCATTTAATTCGCAAGTACGCAGCACTAAGACCTGAAACAATACAACATCAACGATTTTTCATTTTTTACAAGAATGGAAAATGTACGACTCAGCCTGTTGGCAAGAATACGCTTGGCAAAGTACCATCAACGATTGCAAGTTTCTTAAAGTTACCAAACCCCCAACTATATACGGGACACTGTCTGCGCCGATCGTCCACTACCCTATTAGCGGACGCGGGTGCTGATATTACCACTATAAAGCGGCACGGTGGGTGGAAATCTACAACTGTTGCGGAAAGTTATATTGAAAACTCTATCGCCAATCAAATTAATATTGCTAATCGGATTAATCAAGGGGATAGTTGTAGTTCTAATATCTGCAATGTCATACCAGAAACCAGTTCTTCTGATTCAAATATGTTGATCAATAAGGTACCACCAATTAATTTCTCAAAATGCGAGAATATCACGTTTAATTTAAATATAAACAATGTACCTTTTTGAGTTGTGTTAATAAATGATTATATAAGCATCAGGGAGTTTTCATTATTATTATTTCCCTAGGGAATAATTTGCCATTTCAGTCCCTATTTTGTGGTCATAGAAACGGACTTTCACTCTCGCGAGTGAAAAAAAAATTATGTATGTTCAAGGTTTTTCGTAATAGAAAGAAACCACTGAATTTGGTGTCAATGTCAAGGTTTGGTTAGGCCGTAGATGTACTTATTTGATTTTGCGTAATATGAAATTGGCCCTTAGAGGTAAGAAATAACAGACCATTTCAGGTCAATTTTAGTATTCAAATTATGACAGGTAGAAAAATTGGTGAATGAAAGTTCAACGTAGAACGGGCAATATTTGACATTTTCTGATTTTCCTTCAATATACATTTATATGGCCTTTCAATGTTGTTATTTTGCTGGAAAGTGGAAAGAAAGGAAAACCATTTGTAGTTAATTTTCAGATTACAAACGAAAAATCTCTCACGTAAGAACAGAAAGGTATTAAAAGGTAAAGTTTTGGTAACAATCATAGGAGCTAGGCGATAGCATTTGAGTAAATTTTTAGTAATACAGTTTTCTCGTTTGAATTTCGCGATTTATAAAAAAAAGAAAGGAATTTCTTCAACCACATTTGCAAAAAAGACCTGCTGTAGTATCTGTGTTTAATTGACCTACTTGGACAGGTGTTTGTGGGTGGGTTTAAGACCGTTTTCCATTGCACATACAATACTTAATAATGAAGGTTGAATCAAATCGCAAAAGAATGAGTACTTGCACCAGGAAGCACTTTTACTGATAATGTAATTGTAAAGATTATGTTTCTCATTAAAAAGAACTTACCTGCTTATTATTTTTTAGTACAGCTACTTTTAGAGGTTATCAACTTTTTACGACTACCGTTTAAAAATTTGTAAAAAAATGTGTAAGTGTGTAAATGTTTCTTTTTATCAATTGCAGGTAAACCTTAACGTAAATGAGAAATGTAATTGATACAGTGGTACTAAAATAAGGTATAGAATGGGAGTAGTTAAATCACAGCTATGTACAAGGCACAAACATAATTTTTAAGTTGAACGTTATATTTTCTTCGTTCAACATGTCTTTATCCGGACTTCCACGGACGATTCGTCCAGGGGAATGTTCGTCCTTGGTCCTTCGTCCCGGTTGATCCAGCTAAAAAGACTTTTATGGCAAGTTCAAATTGTTCGTTCGCTACTAGTTCATAAAGTATGAAAAAATTACCAAATGGCAGCGATGAGAAGGAAAGGACACTAACATCGTTATTAACTAAGATGATCGTTATAATAGGTATATAATGCATAACACTTAAATTAAATCTCCCATACACTCTTTTACGATGCAAAAGCCGGGCCACACGTTACTCAAATCACAACATTCGCTTGTCTGAAAACCCCTTCTCAAAGATGGTTCTTCATACTTCACGTGTATGGCCATTATTTACGACATGTATCATCTCCGCAGTGCGATTATTACCTATTGCCCTTCCCACATGTGTAAATGCGAAAGTAAAATATCATCTGTAAAATACCAATACTTCTCCCATGGCAATTTCTATTTTACTCAAAAAGTACTGGTGTATATCGCCGATTGATTAGTTACGAGTCTCTTGCACAAACCAGCAGCACGATCCAGACCTCTTTGTTCAAACGATTTCTGTCCACAAAAAATTGACTATACTCTCACGTATTAATTGTTTACAGTGCGAACTGCTAGGACAGTGGTAATTTGACGGCCTGAGCTTTGGAAACGGCTGACAAAATGAAATTGATGCAAAATACAATAGTGGAAAAGCGAGCATCAAATTGCTGGCGTTATCATTTCTCAAGAAGATTCCAGTGCAATGCAAGAGGTTCAAGAATAGATTCCAGATGCAGATTGCAAGTTGATTGTTTTTTCGAGCGTGCAGCTTCAACGAAATTTTTTACTTGATTCGCCATTGTGTAAAATCAGTCAATATCTACTCGTAAAGCAATTCCCGAAATATTTCAGTCGTGTGCCCAACTCGAGCCTCATTACTACAATCTTTGATATTTATCACAACTGCCAACCTCCTCCATTCAGAATCATTATCAACGAAACAAAATCTCTAAGCTGTCCTACCTTCACCTTTTGTCCATTGACTAATTTCAGTTATTATAAAGCAATTTATAATAAATCAGGGCGACTGAGAAGAAAAAAACGTGTTATACCCTTTTTTTCCTATATTGATATAAATTCTCTAATACCTACGACCAGTTTCAAGAGAAAATCGGTTACATTTACAGACCCTGTCGTTGTGAAATTTATGTGAAACTGTTTGAATATCTAAGGAATACCTTGCTAACAAATTTCATTAAAACTTCTTGAAGCACACACTATGGAGTTTGTATTAAATTAAAGTTAGACAGTACCTATTATTGAAGTTTTATTAATAAAATATCGCGAGCATTATTTAAACGTAAATGCATACGAATTAAAAATAAGTCAATTAGTTACATTTTTGTTACAATTACAGGAGTCGACTTGCTAGAGAAGCCGTGCGGAAAAGGTGCATGTAATTACTAGAAATCAGCTTTTAGTAAAATGTGAACGCTCTCTCTGTTTCGAGTAATTACTCTATTCTCTTCTGCTCAGTTTAATTATATGTTTAAGACTAATTTCAATAAGGAATTTCAATTAGATATTGTAATTGTGCCCTTCGGAGGAACGGGAATTATTACACGAGGCGTCAGCAATTCAATTTAATGTCGAAACTTAATTAATTAAAAAAAGCGGAAGAAAGTACATATATGATAATAGGACGAATGTTACACTAATGAAATACACTGTTTATAGCCGGTCTGTTAAAGTAGATCGTGCCATTGGGGCCCAAGAGCGTAATGGAATAAACTTGTCGGAAACTTCCAATGACTGACACGTAAAGACCAACCTTGCGAAGCAAACAGTAGAAGGTCCCACGCGAAATCAGCGTATCACATTAACATCATGTGAACTGCTAAAACTTTCCAAAGTCGATATTAATATTTAAAACGGCGTGTAAAACTGAAAACTAATTAAGAAAAGTATTCGTTTAATTGCTTTTTCTCGGTAATAATAGCTCGTCTGCGGGTGTTTCATCGCCACGCGCGTTAAATTAATGGAATTGTCGACGGGTTTGCTGTTAAATTTCGCGTTGCTGCGGCTTATCGGCCGCTAGAGGCCAGATGAGCCGATAATATTATAGTGCTCCTCATTATGTCTCTTACGCCCCCTTATCGCGTCCCTCAATAAATAATACACCCTCTTCCTTATCGATTTTCTTACCAATATTAAGCATAAATCGTCAAGTGTGGACCACTTTCGCATCTTAAACAATTAAACTGCGCTAATTTTCGACTGAGGCAATTAGATCTTGCTCTAGGGGTTCTTGGGGATCTCTGTCGCGAGAAAGGCCAGGGGCGAAATTTAAATCGCACCACCCATTTGATAAAGCTTGAAGTGAGTGTTTGTATATGAAGTAAATTACGGGACTTTTTTATTGATAGCTGCTGGAGCTTGAAAATACACTTACAGAATATTTAATTTTTATGTGATGTATTGGTCTAAAATTCTACCAAAAACGTGCAAGTCGGTTTAATATAACTGACGGTTAAGCAATATCGCCTCGAAAGCAGACTTTTAAAATTCCTTTTTTCGTTTATCAGTAGAGTCGCCTTGGTTGCTGAGCACGAAAGGCCAAGTAGCTACTTATTCATTGGTTCATTTTGGTTAGAAGTATAAGACTATACCTACCCAAAATCGCCATGAAACTTTCATTTTCATGCCTACTTTATGTGAGGAATTTTTAATTTCCACGATAGAGGCAGGCCAGACTACCTTTCCTGTCGCCTGTCACTTTACCGGCCACACCTGTCACTTTTCCGGCCGCACCTATCACATTGACAGATTGACATTAATCAAATGTTCTATGTGAAAATCGAAACTTTATATTAAAATACGATTTCGGGTAAATTTTAATACAAAACTCGTTCATATAGAACTTTTGATTAATGTCAATATGTCAGTAATGACAGGAGTCATTATAGACATTTAGCAATGTCACAGGTGCGGCCGGTAAAGTGACAAGCGGCAAGAAACGTAGTCTCCTCTACCTTTGTCATGGATAGTAAAATTTCCTGACAGAAAGTGGGCATGAAAATGAAGGTTTCGGGACGATTTTGGGTAAACTAAATTTACCTGACATAAAATAGGCATAAAAAAGGAGGTTTCGTGACGATTTCGGGTAAATTATATTTGATTGAAGTAAGAAAAAATTTGATTGGTACGTTCTTAAAGAGATCAACCTATGATCATTTGAAGCCGTTTTGTATTGCATGTTGCATTCATTTAAAACCCACTAGAATTGGAGTTGAATCAACTTCTTATTTACACTAAGTTGGTTCAAAATTCAATAGAGGGCTTCCAATTTTATGGGTCCATATTATGTTTTAGGAATTGTGTATAAAAATTGTGTCGTATATGATTATTAGGTTCGATATTAGGTTCAGGAGTTTAGTGAGAAACATAAAGAAGCGCAACTTGATTAATTTAGATTAGGCTTATTCAGGGACCGACATATGGATACGCTACATGTTAAAAAGACACCGAGATGTGTCAGTACCTCAGCAACTTCGTAAAAAGTCGTCGATTTCCACTGTTGTAGTATCGTTCGTGTTATTTGAGAGACGTTATATGCCCGGTGCAATCAATGGCTTCAAGGTGACCTTTAGTTCTCTGGTAAGATCAAAACAGGTACGGTGCTGATTAGGTTGATAACCTCGCACGAGACGCCCTGGTAGTCTTTACAGCCAAATCCCAAACGCATCTACCTCTAAGTGAACGAGAGGATGTAGAAACCAATTAATGAATAAAGACGAAATAATTAAATTACGTCGGCTCAACAGTCAGATATTGGATGTCTAAAAAGAAAATGAACCTACATAAGAAAAGCTTTACCAAATGGCGGATAACTTACGTGTCGATAATCGTACAAATCCTCCAAAAAAGTGGAGATAAGCGTTTAAGCTTGCCTCACCCACCGCAAATACTGAGCACAACGAAAAAGGTCAATTGCCAAAGTCACTA